CTGCCATCGAAGCCGTCGCTACTCACCGGCCCCACCTCAACGTCGGCGCAGGAGGCGTACCAGAAGTCGGTAAAGTTCCACAGCCAGTGCAGCGTGTAGGATCCTTCGGGCGTGCCATCAGGGAGGGTGATCTCTGCCGAGGTGGTGATTCGGCCCTCCGCACCGTACTTCCAATAGGCGAGGCAGTCGGCCCCGATCTGATCGAAATCGACCCATTCGGGCGACTGCTTGAAGGGAGCCAGGCGGATGCGGACGCATGTTCCGTCCGACTGCCCGTTTCCAGCGTGCCCGTTACCCATCCACGCGACAGAGAAGGGCTCACCAGGCGCAACTCTAGCCATCGGGTCTGATACCCTGTCCTGGCGGCAAGGGCGCATGGCGTCGTCCGAAAGGGTGATGCCGTGCTTGGGGTCGATTGCAGCCTGGCACTGCTCGAGCGTGGCGAGCGGGCAGACGTAACGCTGGAGGAAGAGCTCGCCCTCCCTGTGCGTAATGCCACCGCGAGAGCGACCGTCTGTGCCGACGAGGGTGACCCAGGAGTGGGCGGTCGCGCCGCCGAAGAGCGAGAGCAGGAATGGGGCGAGGGTCGGATGCATGTATGTGTTTGTCCACCGGGTGTGCGACGTGTTCGCGGGCGTCGTGCGCAGCAGCTGCCTTGTTCTGCGACAGTGAAGGCCGTCCTGGTGAACAGCACGTCAAGGCGAAGGACCGCCGCGCCCAATGAAGTCACGCTCGCGTTTCTTTTTCCTTTTTGGGAAGGTGGCTGAGGGAACGGTTTTTCGATAGATTCCTTTTTGCCAGTGGGCGCGTGGTTCGGGAATTCTTTTTGCTACACACTGAAGTGGAAATAACCAGTCGGCGACTAGCCGGGGTCGTCCTCCCGATCGTGTGTGTGGAGAAGTTTACACCTTACTTACCTTACCTTACCTTACCTCCCGATGGGGGACTAGCGCACTAGCGCCGTCTTCCACATGGTCCCTCGGGTCCCTGCTGCTCCTAATCTCTTCGTACATGCTCCTGCTGATCTCCGCAAAGTCCTCGCTGCTCCCTCCCTCGTCTCGCCCTGCGCGTCTGCTCCGCCTCACCGTCTTCTGCCCTGCGTCGTCTGGCGACGGGTCCTCCATAGTCGGTCGAGGTCGCCGCCCTCCTCGTGCCTCTTCCCAACGTTCCCTCGGCGGCCGATGCCGTCTGCTCCGGCTCCCCAGTCCCCGGCTCTGCCCTGCTCTCGTCTGCGCTAGTTTCTGCTTCGTCATCACCGGCGTCTCTCCTCTTCCTTCTCCCCTTCTTGTATGCTTTGCACATCGCGTCGATTCCTTTTCTGTCGTGTGGAGTTTGCGCAGCGCGATTTCTTTTCCCATTACTCGCATCGCCGAAGATAGGCGCCCGTGGGGACCCCGCAATCCCCTTCCCCCCTCGGAGGGCCGGACTGAGGCGTCGAGGGCCCCGCTCTTTCCTTCGCATAGCGGCCACTCTTCGGATCGCTGGTCGAGCGACCCGGGGGATGCCCCGCGCGCCTAAACCCCACGGCGCCCAGGCGCGAGAAACGAATCTGCGAGGCGCGGCCGCTTATGCGGCCCGATGGGGAGGAGTGGGGCGGATTACGGGGATCGTTGCTTGCAGCTCCATGGCGATGGCGCTAAGAGGTTCCTCTTTCCGCGCCCCCCCCGCAAGGCGCGCGATACACGGATCGGCTACTTACACCGCCCTTCCCTGCAGCGAGCCCCCTCCAACCCACCCGCGCTAGGTCTCGGGGGACGCAGGGGTCACTCCCGACGACCTCGGGAACTAGCCGGGGCAGTCGGAGAAGGGGCAACTCCGTGCACTGACGGTCGGCCGCCAGAAAACACGCCTGCGTGGCTCGGGTTACACCAATCCTCGCTACCCAACGCGGCCAAAGGATATCCACCTCGAGAACCTCGAGAGCTGAGGGTACCCTGCCCCGCCCCCCGCCAAAAAACGGACGCGACCATGTCGGACGGCCGCCTAGCGCCCAGCGCGCGCCAGCTCGGCTCCCTCGCCGGGTCACGCACCTGGAAGGCGTGGGCTGGGAGGAGCACCGGCGGAGACTCGTTCGCCGTGGGAGATGTCACCGCTGGCCTCGGGCTCGCGCTTCGGCGTTTGGGACGCCAGCGTTTAGGACACCGCTGCTGCCCCATCTGCTACGACGAGCGAGAGGATGGCGACGATGACTGGCACCTTCTGTGGTGCGGCTGCGCCGCCTGCGGGACGTGCATGCGTCGGTGGGCGCAGACAGCGCTGAGCGATCGGCAGGGCGCGGCGGTGCCGGCGGTGTCGCGGTCGACGTCCTTCATCGAGAGGCTCGTGGCCCTGACGTGCCCCGTGTGCACTGCGCCGCTGCGCCCCGCCGATGCGGTAGACGTCCTCGCGCGCGATGCCTCGCTGCTCCAGGCCTTCGACAAGCTTCTTCGCGACGCGGCGCTGCGCGGTGCGCCCGACTACCGCCCGTGCCCGCGCGCTGGGTGCAGCGGCGGCGGGTTCGTCGACTGGCGCTGCGTCTCCTCCGTCACGCTCGCGCGCCGCTCGCGCGCGAGCGCCGTCGGACTGCTGCTGCTTGCGGCCGGTGTGACGGTCGGGAGGTGTGCCGCACTCTCTGCTGAAGAGACACCGGAACCTCCTCCATACACACACCTACTCGCGTCACTCGTACACGCGTTGCTGCGGTCCTGTAGGTGCGCGGCGCTCACCGACCTGGCGGCGGCTCGGGCTCTCGCGCTCTTGTGCGCCGTCGCGCCAGCAAGCGCGCTGCTCGCCTTGGCGGCGGTGCGGTGCGGCAACGCGGCGCGGTCTCTTGTCCCGCTGTCTGTCGAGTGCCCCGAGTGCGGCGGTGCGCTTCCAGCTCTAGGATTCTCGGACCCTTCTAGGACCCTTCTAGGACCCTTCTAGGACCCTTCTCACCCTTCTAGGACCCTTCTAGGACCCTTCTACGACCCTTCTAGGACCCTTCTAGGACCCTTCTCACCCTTCTAGGACCCTTCTACGACCCTTCTACGACCCTTCTACGACCCTTCTAGGCGGCTTCCAGCTCCCCACCACCGACGCGGTGGCGGACGCGGCGGCCGGCACACGAGACGCGGCGGCGAGAGGACGAGGCCGAGAGGGCCCGGGAGGACCTCGAGGCTGGTCCGCGAGTAGGAGGGGGCGACGCGGCGTGGGTGCGCGAGAATACGCGTCCGTGCCCTCGCTGCGCGGCGCCCATCCTCAAGGCGGGAGGGCGCAAACCACCTACGATGGGAGATCTATTATTCTCACTCGACTATTGTTGTTCTCAAGGCGGGGGGGTGCAACCACATCACGTGCGGGGCGTGCAGGACGCGCTTCTGCTGGGCGTGCATGCGGCCAGGCGCACGCCACCTCGCGCCTAATCTCGAGCAACCTCGGGTAATCTGGGGCCACCTCGCGCCTAATCTCGAGCAACCTCGGGTAATCTGGGGCCACCTCACGCCTAATCTCGAGCAACCTCGGGTAATCTGGGGCCACCTCGCTGCCAGGCGTCCGGTGCACGCCCTTCGGCTGCGCGCATGGCGCCCCGTTCGGCAACGCCTCGCCGTGGCGGCCCGAGCGCGCCATCGCCGGCAACGAGATGGAGAGGCACGGCCAGGTCGCCGCACACACAAACATACACAAACACACACGCAACACACACGCACACGCACACGCACACGCACACACGCGCGCGCGCACGCACGCGCACGCACGCGCACGGGGCACTTGTGCCTTGTACCTTTCTTTGGACGTGGAGTCGCGAGGGTCGCCTCGCCCTCACCCCAACACCTTGTGCGCGCGCGCGCGTGTGTGTGTGTGTGTGTGTGTGTGTGTGTGTGTGTGTGTGTGTGTGTGGAGAAGTTCACCTTACCTCACCTCACCTCAGGTCGCGGCATCACTGGCCTACGGCGGCGCCGCAGCCGCTGCGGTGGTGGCGGTGGGCGCCGCAGTGGGCGGCACACAGGCCCTGCTGGGTGTGAGTGAGCCCGTGTGGCTCACAAGCCTCGAGGCGCTGCTGGGTGTGCCATCAGCCGGGGTGGGGCTCGTTTTGGCCTTGCTCGCGTGCCTCGACATGCGGCGAGTGGGGTGAGGCGAGAAGCGTGTAGCGCATTGTGATTGGAGAGGAGCGCCATAGTCTGAGGGTTAGGTTTCTGGAGCCTCGGGTGCTTTTAGACTTTTGATCGGGTCAGGGGAGAGTGCGACTTTTACCACTTCGATCGTCTCGGAGCGCCTAACTCACTCTTGTAGCATGCAGCATGCAGACTGCATGGATTTGCCTCTGCATAGACGGCTGATTCTACATTCCGTATTTCTCTGAAAATGCACAATGCAGATGCAGAATGCAGAATGTGTAGAACCCAGCCCAAAATGATTACTGTTTACTCTGTATGTGCAGGATGCAGGATGCAGGATGCAGGATGCAGAATCGGTCCCAAAATGGATTCTTCTGCATGGTGCAGTGATGGCAGGATGCAGAATGCAGGATGCAAAATCAGACCCAAAAGAAATTGTCCGTTGGGTGCAGCTCACAGCTTTGAGCCTGATTTTGCATCCTGCATCCGCATCCTGCATCCTGCATCGGGTGCAAGGCATCTGGCTTTGGGCCCGATTCTGCATTCTGCATTCTCCCTCCTCGCAGTAGGGCCCATGCCCCTCAACCCTGTTGCTGCTGAGGGGGCACACCATCTTCACATCTCCGCAAAAGTGCCTGCCGCCCCTGCCAATGTTGTCCGCATTCACGTCGGGTTGTTTGTTGTAACTCTGACCGAGGTGGTTTGTCGGCTCCATTCGCACAGCGGTGCCCCACGCGCGGCGCGTAGGGCGCGGATGAGGCGTCGAAGCGTGTACACTTGTGTTTGATGTTGTGGCCCTGAACTTAGGTAGGAAGAAAAAGCATTAAGTAAGAAAAAAAGAAATTCCGCGAGCGTGACACGCCCTCGGCCAACTCCAACGCCCTTTCCGCCCTGACGAGACGCGAAGAAACCTCATTTGCGCGCATGCTGCCAACGAAGTCCACGCCGTTCGTCGCTTTGTCGTCGGGCAAGGCCACGCCGCTCCTCGGGGAGAGTGAACCAGAGGAGCCGTGGTTCAAGCGACCAAACACAAAAAGGCGTGCCTGACCCCTCCAGCGAACGCTGCGCGACTGCCCGCCGTGCAGGGGCCCTGCGCTCCTGCACCATAGAACATAGATCCTGCACAGCTTCAGTCCACCCCAATGTCATGTGCGCACCGAGCCGCCCGGCTACTTCCACAGGCTGCTCGTCGCGGGCGCCGCGCTGCTGGCAGCCACCTGCGCGCTTGCGCTGATCGGCGCCTCCCCAACTCTCGCCTCCCCAACTCTCGCAGTGGCTGAACCGCCGAAACCCTTCGTCGACGCTGCCCATGCCGCGTCCGTCTCGCCCGAGGCTGCCAAGGCTGGCTTTGCCTCGGCGGTAAAGGCGATGCCGGAGGGAAAGAGTCCTGCGGAGGCCATGCGAGCGGCGGAGAAGGCGGCCGAGAAGGCACAAGAGGACGCGGGCGCAAAGAGCGTGCTGCTCGCGGCCGATCCATCCAAGATGCCGGACACCAAGCCGTTTGTCGACGCCGCTCACGCGGCGTCGCGCTCGCCCGAGGCGGCCAAGGCCGCGGCCGCATCGGCGATCAAGGCCATGCAAGAGGGGAAGAGCCCTAAAGAGGCGATGCATGCTGCCGAGAAGGCGGCCAAGGAGGCGCAAGAGATGGTCGGCTGGGCGTCGGCCAAGGAAATGTCGTTGTTGACGGTTCAGGGAGGCAAGCCGGGCGATGACAAGGACGAGGCAGACGAAGACGAGACCGACAAAGACGAGAGCGAGGAGGAGAAGAAGAGCGACGAGCAGAAGGAGTGGAAGCGGATGGGACAGGCAATCGGCGATGACTGGAAGTCAAAGGGACAGGCAATCGGCGATGACTGGAAGTCAAAGGGCAAGCAGATGGGCGATACCGACTGGAAGGCCTTGGGTGACAAGATGAAGGACATGGGCAAAGACGCTCAGGAGACCGGTGGGTGGTCGTGGCCGTCGTTCGAGAAATCCTGGAACCCCTGCCACTAAGCAGTTGAAAGCTTCTCACTGCACTTCTGATCTGACTCTTGGCTGTCCATCTACGAGCAACCACGTGTCCAAGAGCTTTGATGACGGACGCGTCCGGGAGCGTAGCCGCTCGAGTAGTCATGACTTCGAGTCATGATACGTATGTTGCATGCGGCATGTGCCCAGCTAGTGCACAAGTGCGGTCTGGGAAACCTCGCACGACGTTGACCACGTACTTTTCACATGTTTAGTATCTGCTGCGGCGCGCGCGGCGCGGCGGGGCGTACACTGCTCGAGGCACTCGATTAGACGTTACTCGGTGCCATCTGAGCGGGCGGCACCCCCGCGCTGATCGTAATTGTTGTTCCACAAGGCCTTCACGAGCCAACAGCCGGTCGACTCGCTGGTCAGCGCGTCGCACCTGAACGCCGCCCAGCAGGCCAACTTCTTTCACATGACACTGACACTGAGACGATCGAGGGGTCCCGTACCATGCGGAATCGACCCTAACTATCCAGTGCTCAAGTGCTCAAGTTAGGAAGGTGAAGAACAGCCAGGCTCGGACTGGACACCAACGCGGTATGGGTGGACGCTAGACAGATGATGACGACACGCACGAGCGACACACAGACACAAACAGGCTCACAAGACACACAGCCAGCGGGCTGCCACACACACTGACAAAGAAAAGAATTCGCCGCCGTTCACACCAAACTCTTCATCATCGAGATCATCGAGGCGTGCTCACGCTCCGCCGCTCCGCCCGGCCGGCTCTGACGCCCTTCCCTGCTTGTGTAGGCGACAACCCAGGTTTGCCGGCGCATGCACCCCCATCTTAGATCCGAAACGCACCGAAGGACAGACCCGCAGCCCACAGCGCCCGCGGCACACTGCGGCACACAGCTGCTCCCAAGACCCTCGACCCCAGCCCACGGGCGACTGAATCTCAACGGCGGCGGCTGGCGCGCGCGTGCCCTTGACGCTCTCCGTGCCGGGCAACATCTGCTACATCGCGGACCAGCGCTCTTTGTTCGCTGCGTGTGGCGGTCGCGCCTCGGGTCTCTCCGCGCTCACCTCCGACTTCTCCACCGCCGACTCCGTCACCGCTTTGCCGTCCTTCCTGCCCCGACATCGTCGCCTTGACGCTCAGAACGTCGCCGACCCGGTCGCCGACGCCCCCACTACGCCAGCTCGGCAACAAGGCGAGCGCGCCTCCCTCCGCGCGGCGGCGCACACTCGTTCAATGACGCGGCGCAGAGCCCACCTTTGCTGGACGAGGGGGCAAGCGGAGTGGGGCATTGTCCTCCTGCTCCTCCCACCCACCCCCGTCCTCCCCGCCGCCACCCGCCCCTCCGCCGCCCACGCCGCCTCCGCCCCACCCACCCCCGTCCTCCCCGCCGCCAGCGCCACCCGCCCCTCCGCCGCCCACGCCGCCTCCGCCCCTCCGCCCTCGCCCTCGCCGCCGACCCGCCCCCCTTCACTTCTCCCCGTCCCGTCCCCCGCGCAGGTTCTACTTCTTCGTCGGCATCGCCATCGTCTGCGACGACGTCTACGCCGCGGCGATCGATGAGGTCGAGGTGCTCAAGAGGTGCCCGAGGAGGTCGCCGGCGCACCCGTCATGGCGGTTGGGTCGTCGGCGCCCGAGTTCTTCACGGTGATTCGCCCCGCTCGG